CTTTACATTTACAATGGGGATCCTTCCATCTGTCTAAACTATTCCCCAAAGGTACTTAGGGAACAGCTCCTTCAGCAGACATTTATCGAGTGCCTACTATGAGCCAGATGGGTGTGAATGTGCCTTACAATATGTAATGGAGTATGAATACAACATAAAATTCAGCCAGCTATTCCCACAATAATTTAGTAAGTACTAAGCTTCCATGCTCCTGGACTATGTAGCCCTCCTTTAGAAATAGGATTTCTATAAGAGGAGTATGAAATTTAAACAGGATCTGAAAGTCTTCGAAGTAGTCAAAAGTCTTTGAGCTTCTCAATGCTGTGAGTGAGCACTTCCATTCAAAAGCGAGGGAGAGAGAAGAGACGCAAGTTCTGGGCTTGGAAGGTGTCCATGATCTGAGGTTTCCAGACAAAAATGTTTAGGATTTTGCCAGTTAGGCCCCTACAAATGAGAATCAGAGTGGCAGATGCTTTAACAAATGGAAGCACATTTTGCATAAAAAAACAGTGAGATCTAGGTCCTTAAAGACCCAAAGCGCACCCTAAGATCCGGGCGCAGGAGTGTCAGTCTTGGACGCCCAAGGGCAGCCCAAACAAGGCCTGGCATTTTGAGTTGGCTGGAGTGTGGAGTTCACTCTGATGGTATGCTTTTCTTCATACCTGGAAGCCATTAGGAGATTAATAAAGTGCAATTTTTCTAGGGACTATAAAAATCATATGATGCCTGGAAAATAATGAAAAGATTTGGCATAATTGATATGACAAAGAAAGATGCTCCTTTGACAAAATAACAGACATCGGTGACAAGTACAGAGGGCATTTAGGAGAAGTTGAGTTTCCAGTTAGCTTTTCTAAAGTCAATCTTGGTCACTTTACTGAAAATAAAATCACAAGTGTGGTTCCAGCATGTTCCATTTATTCTCTGGTCTTCGTTATTCCTCAAAGCAGCTTATCAGTAGCTTGTGTCATGGGAATTGTTTGTTGTCTCCCCCTGGAAATATCTGTGCCCACCTCTTGGTTTGAAAAGTTTCCTAAAGTATTATTACAAGGATTTGTCTGAATGATCTACTTGGACATTGGAATGGCTGTGGCCATAATGGGGTCATAGGCCTCCAAGTATCACATCTGCTCCTTTCTCAGGTAAGAGTCTAGACTGTTGGACTGCCACATCCTGCTGACTTCTCTTATGTGTTCTCCAGATTGTCCCTTCCCCTCATTACACTCATTTTCAATTTCTGAGGGTCTGTGTATTTACAATTATCCTTACTTTCCTGTGTCCTCACTCTTTTAATGGTTTCCTTAGTTCAGATCCACTGGGTTTTTGGTGGGATGACTCATTCTCAGACATTATAGCCTTCAAAATGGTATCCCAAGAAATGAATGAAAGAGGCAATCTCATTTTCTGCTATGCAGGGCATAGCAGAAATTGCCTCAACACTCCACCTTCTGATGAAAAACACTGCTGGAAACTGGATTAGCTATGTTTTAAACCAGGTAGTCTCTTTCTTCACCTCATACTCTGAGAACAGTATTTCTCAGAGCACAGATGTTTCTAGAAAAGAAAAGAAAAAAAAAAGATTCTATGATCAAATAAGTCTGGGAAATGCTGGATTAAGTAAAATTGGAGAGCTTTCTTTCTTATATGACTTTTTAGATCCTTTGATCTGCTAATTGCACCAAGACTCTCTAAGATTGACTTATAATATGCAGCATTTTCCCAAAATTCTTTATTCACTGAATCTTTGTTTTAAGACTTTCCTCCTGGGACTAATGTTCCAAAAGTTACTTTGGGAAATGCTCGTCTAGACTTATAACCCTTAGATTCAGTTTCTCCTGAGGAGAAAGCAAACTCATAGTGAAGGAGAAAGGGACAGGGAAGAAATGGAAAAAGAATCTAACTCTTCAAGGGCCCAGCAATATTTAACTTGAATTTCCTAAGGAAAAATGAATTTCTCTGGAAAAGTAGCGAAGTGACTGGTTTTCTTATATTTCTTTATTTTCGTGTGTTCTGATCTTTTAATAAAGCTCAAGAGACAATGGCAACATTTTGTAGTCCCTCTTCCAGAAGGGTTGGTTGGTCAACCCTCAGGCCACAGGAAAAGTCAGAGCTGCAAGATTCATGGGAAGGAAATCAGAAATCCCTTGGAAGAGACCTTTCCCCTTTAAGTCAGTTAATACAGGTACACTATGGACATTTAGTTTAAATCCCATCCAAATCAATCCATTTTTCAGACTTTATGTTGTCACCATAAGGCTGTCACTTTCTCCTGAGAAGTAGCTCCACTCCACACATATCAGAATATATGCTTTCACAATTATATATAGAGTTTGTAATCACCTGGGAAAGATTTCCCAGTCTTCCGATGACTGTGACATTCTGGAACTTAGTTTTATAACAATTTATGAGCTGTTGGTGGTTATAACGGAGGGTATGGTTGTCTTAGACCTGACAATCCAAGTCAAAAAGGTCACCAGCCCAGCCATTTCCATCAATGGAGTCAACCTACTCATGCAGGTCTTCTTAGTCAATTCTATTTTCTCTAATTGAAAGAGTGTAGCAAGGAAGACTTATAGCTTTGCTGACTCCAATTTAAAACCACAGAGTTATCCTTCTGGTCAACGGTATGTCACTTTCAAGGTGAACTTCACTGTAGAGTAAGTTCCTAAGTCACGGGCCCCTAGTTAAGTCATAACCATCTTTTCAATGTCATTTTTGATTGACACGATCCAGGAAAAAACTGAACAAGTGTTGAATTTTTGTCTTCAGATTAGACAGCAAACTCCCTGAAGGCCGGGGTCTATCTTATCCATCATGTTCTTTCCCAAGGCCAATGTAGTGGCTGGCATGGAATATGTGCTCCAAGTATTAGTTGAGTGAGCAAATAACCAGAAGCAGGACTCAGATCAGTCCACCACCATCACCCCCCCAGGGCCTGAATTTCTCATTTGTAGAAGAGGATGAGGTTATCTTCCTCTATGTCAATGGGTTGCTTAGAGTGTCACTGGAATGAAGGATGGGAAAGTGGAAGACCATCACCATCCTCCCAACAGTAGCAATCACAAAGATATATTAGAGGTCCTGATGACACATCTCAGCCAGATACTTCTCAAGGCTAACTCTTCTGGGAAGGGCATTTCCCCTGAGCAATGATTTCTGCCCTATGACAACTGCTAGTGTTGGTAGACAAACATAAGAGGGTCAACCAAAACAGGAAGACCTCTATTTTGTGTTTAATAATGATCTCTGGAAAAGTAGCAAGAGACTAGATTTTGTGAGAAATATAATTTACCAGGCAGATAAATTTGATCTGGTATCCAGTTTCTAGCAGGACATATTGGCATATGTGTTTCTGTGATTAAACAAACCCGTTTGTTATCTCAGGAGGTCCTTATGTGAATCCCTCCCCCAGTTGGGCTCCAAATCCTTCATTCTGCCTCTCTGCTCCTATCTCTCCAGGGGAAAGCCTAGCACCAATAAAATTTCACATTTACCCTTCCTGGGAGAAGGTCAAGGAGCAAAGGGCAGTGTGCCAAAAGGCAGGGACCAAGAACAAGAATGAAGATGTTTGGATAGTAAGATGCCGGGTATACTAGGATGGTGAGTGTGGAGAGGTGGTGATGGCAAGGGAAGAGATTTGAAAAAAAAAAGCTAAATCAAAGCAGAACCACAGGCAGACAAGATAATGACATGAAATTTATATCTCTCTCTACTTTGCTGATCGCCAAATTAAGAACCATTTTGAGAGCTAATAACAAGAATTGGTGCCTTTCTGCCCCTGGCTTCAGAAAACTAGACGTCCTAGAAGAACACCTGCAGTGTTGGGGTCTCTGAGGGCAAATGCTTCCCAGTACAGAGGAGGGAAAAGCTGGGTGTCGGGGCTGGGGGCCTCCAGGTTGGAGCTACTTCACTGTGGAGCTCCGGGGAGCACTTCTTATGTTGCATACTATATAAATGCCCCCCCCCGGAGTTGTACTCCTGGTAGAACATCTTGGAGACTTGCCATCTTAACTTCTTCTTTGGGATACTAGTGACATGAGGTGCATAGGAAACAGAGCCATCTGAAAAACATCTTAGGAGCACAATAAGCACCTCCTCCTCCACGGTTAAACCTCTCTTCATGCAGGTAATTCCAGTAAGCCCTCCTCCCTCACATACCCAGAAATATATAACAAAGGCATTCACACTTATCCAGATGATTCTATTCCTTATCTATGGCCCCATCCCTTATAATTTATAAGTTATACTAGGGTCACACACACAAGAAGCTCACAGTATAATAAAGGAGGAAATACTGCTAATATTGACTGTATTAACCTGCTAGTTTGCATTTAATTTCATAATTTCCATGACGTTCACCTTTAGGAGTTTTAATCCTACATACTATCAACAGTTTTTATATTGGGTGGGTGAAAGCACGTATCATTGAAGACCACAGGAGATTTTTGTTTTTGTCGATCCATCTTTTCACTTGCTTCATTTAGTCAAGAGAGAAGATAGGATCCAAATCAAATAAACCAGACGCCTTAACTTAACCAGCTAAAATGCAAGCAAAACTGATTTCTCTTCATGTTGTTTTACCCCACTGCTAATTTGCATCACTAAGGAATTTTCTAGGAAAGTGCTCAGCAAACTCAAGGCTTCTCTGGTTGCCAAGCTCATGGAAACAAAGTGCTTTCTCTTAAAATTCTGAAAGAGACATTCCAAAGTAACCCACCATTAGATACCGAGCCAGCAACAGACTTCATATCTATGAAAGTAGAAAGGAGGGAGGAAAGAAAATGCATAACATAAACAAGAACAGACAAAACCTTAAAGAGGAAGGAGAAAGGAAAACATTTAGACTCCTTGAGTGATGGAAATAAATACCAAAGCTATTAGTTTCAGTTCAAAGGACGTATCACTTTATGCTGTTTATTATTTCTTGAGGATTATTTATTTTATCTTAAAATATCCAAAGGGTAAAAGGGGTCCTGGAGGTAAGCGGCAATGAAACTGACCTGGTCGGGAGAGGGCCTGTGATTGGAATGTTGCGACCTCCCAGGAGATCGGTGGTGGTGGTGGTGGTGGTGGTGGTGGTAATGGTGGTGGTCCTCATCATAGTTGTCCGCCATCAGCTTCATTCTATTCTGGGTCTGCGCAGAACAAAAACCAGAGAAGACTCCATTAGGAGCTGGAAGACCAGCCAAAGAGATTCAGGGCATAATTATAGCACCTATAGGGCTCCAGAAGTTTTCATTTTTAGTCAAATTGAAACTCAATAAAGAATACACCATGCCATTTGGTAAAAGAGGCTTTGTCACATCCTTGAAGCTACGATGTTCTTGAGCCTACCTGAGAGAAATGTACTCCCCCCCCACAACCGTGTGATTTAAAAGGGGGGAAAAATGGAAATACACCCAGAGGTGCTCTGTTTTACATTATCAAGCAATCACACATAATCAGATAAACTTGCAATCACAAACTGCTGACAATCACATCCTACACTCTAGAGCAAGCAAGAGAAGGAAGCCCCGGACAGAGAAGGTGGGACAGGGCCAAGTGGAGACACAAAACTACAGACGAGTAATGGTCTTGCGAGACAAAGCAGAGGAATCCATTCAAAAACTACCAAATGCAAAAGTAGCAATGGAGGAGGTTTGTAACTCTGACGGCTTCTAGGGAAAGGGCTCTTTGTGGACAATTTAGCTGACGGTGCCCTTTAGGGAAACTGAGCAAAAGGAGCAGAGTTGGTGTGAAAGAGCTGATCACTGTCACTTATATCCCATTGTGTCACACCAGGCAGCGAGGTGTCATGGCTTACATTCCCAGGACAAACAACTGTATTGTTTTGTTAGGTAAGGCAAGAAACAGACCAGCAATGAGTTGTCCGAACAAGGTCACAGAATCTAGAAAAATGCCTGAAGACAAGGGGGAAAGGCAGAGAAAAATATCCAGCGCAGAAAGCCAGGCAATGTAGAGAGTACCCGGAAAAGGAGGAAATGCAGCATACACATGCTTATTTGGAGAGAAGACTGTCTGGATTCAAGTCCTGCTCTACCTCTTTGCAGGTTACGTGATCTTTTGAGGGGTAACTATTTGTAAGCTTTAATTTCCTGAACTATACAATGGGAGTAATGGTGCCTCTCTCCTTGGGGTCACCGTGAGGAGCAAGGGATCTGATGGGCTTCAAATGTTACCATAAAAATAAAAAACTGTTATTATTATTAATTTTGCTATGTTTACAGTAAGAAAACTCTCCTTCTTTACATGTTGTCTCCTCTGCCTGCGGTACTTCCCCCAACCACTATCTCTCACCTCTCCCTTCTGTGTCTGGTTAATTCAGGATTTTTTTTCTCTAGGAAACTTTTCCTGATCCCACCCCTGACACCAGGACATGCACACCTCCTGCTTATCATATGTGACCTCAGATCTATCTATCCTACTGTTGGTAGACTTGAGGCTGCTTCTTTCACCTGCCTCTCTCCAGAATCTAACAGGGCCTAGTAGACGTAAATGCACTGTGCATGCTGCTGCAGTGAGGGCACTGAAAGAAAGAAGTGCCAGAATTCTGAGGGATGCTGCCATCCTAGAGGCAACTGCACATTTGTTCTCAGCCAGGGAATGTCACTGAGAGTTGAGGACATCTCATGAGTTGCTACAACCTTCCCACTGGTGGAATGAGATGATAGTGAGCCATCAGCACTTCAAAAAAGCTGGAAATCAAAGGCTGAAGAGCCTCCAACAGGTTGGAATTTTATTATGTAACATAAATAATACTCTGATAATAATTCTGGACCTAACAGTACATTCTTGTAGTATGTATGTTTCACGTACAATCTAAATTATCTTCAAAACTGTCCTGGGAGGAATAATTACTATCCTCCCTTGCAGAAAATGAAGGCAGAGATTTCAGCCCCAGAGTCTCCTTCTTTCCACAGAACATGGAGATTTCTGGGGTCTTCCAATTCTCAATCTCAAGCCTTTTCTCTTTGCCATGCTGTCAGCAGAAAACGCAAAGAGCTAAGCAGGTAGAAACAGCGTTCCTATAGATGCTTTGGTTCTGCTTAAGTATTAGAAACACTTCATATCCCAATTCAATCTGCCAGAGGTTGTCTCATAATGGACTCCATTTTGTGAAATGTGTACAATATTTGAAAGTCCCCACAGTGGGTATAAAAAAATGCATGCATATGGATAAAAACAATAAAAATAGAGAGAAAGATCCACCTAACAATTAAAGAAAAAATCCCAGGCAACCTTTGGCAGCTGAGAGCAGTTTCATCCTTCTCTTGCCCATTTAAAGCGTCAGAAGACCCAACGGACAAGTTACGGCTTGTGAGAAAGAGCAGGTCATGGGAGCTGTTGCCGATCAAGTACTCAGAGTCCCCTCATTCAGCCTGCCCTTGTGCAAAAGATTCTGAATTCAGTGTTCACACCTAAAACTCCAGTATTGTCAGGAGTTTGTCCTTTTGAACTCATGAGCTAATAAATCTGAAATTGTTTCTTCTAATAGAACTCGGAGAGCCTGAAGGGAGCTGTAAGACCCGCTATGGTCAAGAAGGAAGGGGCTCACCCAAGACTGAACGACGAAGCCTAAATGAACAAATAATAACTCTGCTATTGTAAACATCATGATGTCCTTATCCTTTGGGGAAGCTCCTGTGATTTTATGAGATTATTTTCTTACCAGCAACAAGCCTAAAGTTCCCTACCTTTGAACTGTATCCCATAAAAGAATGTACAAGCTAAATAAGATGCTATATGCAGTCCTAAATGTGTTTGCTGAAATGAGGTGTTGGAGAATAGGCATGTCATGGGATAAAGACTGTAAAGGAATGATGTCATCTTTCCAATTTGGTGCTGAAATATAAATAAACCATGTTGTTCATGTGAATACCAGATCTGGGGGAAATGTACACATAGCAATTGTGAGCGGAAGAGGCTTCTTTTGATTAGTCTGGATTGGAAGAGAAGAGTGTGAAACAGAGATGAATAATGAGAGTTTGGCCTGATACTCTAGACCATTTTTATTTATCTTGCTTGTAACATATCCCCTAAACTGTGACCGATGTCTTACAGGCTGGTTGCTAGTTTTCCCTTCTCTAAAAAAAAGTTTAACCAATCCAGCCTCCTTAATGGTTAAATTGAAAAATGGATCTCTCTTAAATTATTACTTTTTAAAATCATCTTTACCTATTCTCCTCCCCACCCAATTATATTGGTTTCCTAACATACCAAGAATGGTCTGCAAGGATAAGAAGCCATGAATATCACTCCTTGAAGATAGACGGAAGAAAAACTGCAGAAATTTGTAACAAGGATAGCATTTGTACACTGAGCAGGTGACTCCATGTACAATGGTTCATATCCCTGTAGTCGTGTGGTTGACATCTACACAAGGTGCCCACCCCAAAGCCTCAAACAGCAGCTCTTCTGGGCAGTCATAACTGGAGTCCCAGGAAAACTAATATGGAGTTAGAGAGAGGGAGAGCTTTCCACAGCACTACACTTGGGAACTCACGAACTCACTTAGCAATGCGCTGAAGCCCATTTTTATTTCCTTTTCAGTGTCTACCAAATGGCTGACCTGACACGTTTGCCTTTGGCTAACTGTGTTATATTCATTTTACTATATTATGTCATGACTGCTGAGACATCTCTAATCAGATTTCATTTTCCACTTCCTCTTTCTTCCAGGCACCACCTTATTTCTCTAGGGCGAAAGACTCCGTTAACAGTTCTCTTGCCGCACTCTGGCCTCCCACTAAACACAATCTATAGCTGGGGTGACATCAGACCCCTGTTAGTCCCTGACATCCAGCTCCTCAGAGACTCCCACTGCCCTCAGGAAAAGAGCCCCAGCTTCTCCAGGCTTATAGAGCTCTTGCAGGGCATTTCCTTGCTGTCCACCTCCCAAACTCACCTCTGATACTCCCTGTTCCCATCCCTGGGATGTTCTATTCCCTGTTCCTGTCATGTTCTTCATCCTCTCTCCCTTTACCCAAGTTATACCCATTTCATCAACACCATCACCTCAGAAACACCTTTCCTGAGCCTGCCTCAGAAGGGATTAGGTGCTCTTCCACTGCCTTCCCCAGGACCCTGTGCCCACCTCCAGGCAAGCCCCCTTCCATCACAACACTTATCCCAATGAAAGGTACATAATCACCTGCTTTCTTGGCTTTCTCCACCACTAGGCTGAAATTCTCTTGAGGGAAGCACTATGTCTGAATCACCCTTGTACTCACCACGTGCACAGAGTCTGGTGCATACGTAAGTAGTAAGTAAATGTGTGTCAAATAAATGAACGGATGTATGAAGGAATGAATAAAATACTTTAGAACAGATGAAAGGGAAAAGTACATCATTAGCCGTTACGATGAGCCAGTTGAGTATATAACTCTTCATGGGACAGTTTAACCCTTCCTACTGTGGATTTGTCTTTGGTTGCTGTTCTTGGGAGTGGGAGAGCAGGTTAAATGTATATTTTTGGAGCTGTTGGAAAAATTGAATTGGTTTTCTTCAATATATATTCCATTCTTTAGTAGAATGGAACTCGTGAAATATTCCATGTCCCTGGTTCCTTACCTCATTAAGAATAAAAGGTTTGGTGGTGTTATGGGATTCATTTCCTTACTATCCCTTAGACTTTAGAAGAGCAGGGGCCTTTGGAACACTTTTGTTAGCACCAAAAGTCAACCATGGAAAACTGAAACTTTATCCATTAACTAAAATCCCTGATGAACACCATCTGTGAAAAGGTGCCATATATTCCATCTCTTTGACGTTTCTGAAGAGTTTATCCAAGGAACTCTTGAAACAAAATGAAAATCCTTGATTGACTAGTAATAGACTCAATAGCTTAATGGCAATATGTAGCTATAAAAGTGTAATATTAAAACTGCCTTTAAAAATATTTTAGCAAGGTGGCAATAATGAACTATGCTTTGATCAGTCATCTGGATCAAGTTAACAATAAAACCTTCATGAATATGGTTTAAATAAGAAAAAAATATAATAAGATTTGTTGCTATGGGATATGGAGATAATACCACACAATAGCAATTACACTTTCTTCTATCAGAGTTTCTTTTCTCCCTCTTTCCTGCCAGGGAAATCTGAAATAGTCCAGAACTCTTCTACTGGTCTTGTT